CATCCTTCTGAGAACAGATACGTGTTACAAATTGTTGTGGAATTCATGCGCATGCACAATGTTTCTTCCTTTTTTATCTCAAAATTGACCGCACATCCATCAAGACGGAGCACAATAGCCAGCAGACGTTACTGAATAAGGACACTAATTTTACATCAGGTACCGTAACAATGTAACACAGATCGATACGTGGCTTCTTTAATCAAAACGGGCAACGCCTACTGTTTAAATTACAATTAAAAAACGTATAAGCAAAAAAAAGGAAAATAGAGAATTTACATTGTTAACAGAGAGTAGTTTAATTTCAGTGTTGATTTAATTAGTCCTTGAAATGTAATCATATATTGAAAATATCAAGTTACTACGCAGCTACTTTATACGTATTACATATAGTTAAAATGTTTTAAAATATAAATGTCGCATTTAAAAGTTAAAGCACTGTCCATGCACAGCAAGCATTGCTAAAGGAGCCTCTGATTGAGTCACGAAGAAAGTTTCACCCTCACAGTTTCAAGAATTATAAATGGGCGATTAATTTTAATGCCCATGAAGAAAATACTTGTGTACAGAACTTACCTTCACTAAGAGCCCTCTTTTCTTGATCCAAAAACAAAAGGAATTAAATATTAGTAAATTAAAAACCATAAAAGTCAAAGTTCTGCTGGTTAAAAATCACAGGTATTGCAGACACGGTCATTTACAAGAGTTTGCACAGTCAAGCAGGTTTAAATTTTCTATTCAGGTTGAGTGTCCCCAGTAACATAACTAGGCAGAGCGAGGGGCCCAGCTTTTTGATGAGGTCGTCGGAACGTTTTTAATTTCTGAACTTAAGTATTGATGCAGTCAACTTGTAGCCCTGGAGACAATAGTTATGAGTAATTACAATTACTTATGTTGTTGACATGGGTGTATTTGTTAATTCCATGAAATGATCAGCTAATTTAAAGTTGAAGTCTGATGGGAAACGTGTGGGAAATGGTTCCCTTTCATCATCTTTAAGAATGAGTCCAGGGCTCTCTGGAGCGAGGACGTTGAAGTCTGCCTCTCTCATAAGCCCTTTGTTATAACGCATGGGCAGTGATAATTAGCTCAGTCTTTACTGTACAATAGCTACATTGCTGAAGTTTGGCTAGAGCGTGTTTCAGATATGTCCAGTCAGCTAATGACCACTTAACTTTGGAGAGTATGATACATTGTACCCAGTGGTGGATCCTTCACAACTCCACTGTGGTGAAGATCGCACCCAATAAATAGGTATATTTCCAGATGATTGCCCTAGGTTTCGGCGGGATTTATGAACGAGGTTCACAGTCTGAATGGATGCGCTCAGATCAGGTACATCATAGTCAGAACAGTACTTGTAAACAATATTCCAGTTTTTCAGACACAAGTTTTGGAGAGTTTTAATTGTTTTATAGGTAAATAAATTAACGCAACATGTGTCTTGCTCTGATAGGATCACTTATTCGTATAATTTTTCAGTATCCTACATCTACATATCTTCCTGCGCAATTTACATGCTGAGGTTATTAATCACCACCAGCCGTGATCATTCCTATTAAATAAATGGAACCTATTTTTTTTAAAGCTTTCGTGACTGCAGGGATTCATATTCTTGGTTCTTTCGGTAAAGTCACGTAGAATGGAAACAATAAAATAATAAAAATATAAAACAATAAAATTCTCACGACGTTTCGACTGCAACACAAGCAATCATCATCAGGTGTGAAAACCACAACAAGAATATTTGAAAAAAGTGGCGGTTATTTTTAACGTTAACACCACAGAGAGATTTCACAGTTTGTTCAGATGGACGAGTCCATCTATGTTCGGAAAAGAGGAGGGGGGAGACGACAAATGATGGATGCGGTCTGAAAGCCACCTTAAGCGTGATCAATCAATTAAGACCCAAAATGGTTTATCAAATCCTTCCAATGATTGCTAAGCCAGAATACATATTCTCGGTTGAAATTGTCTCTGTGTTTGTATATGTGGATAGCCTCATGAACGAATCTCTCAGTAGCCAGATGGCTTGCAAATAAATTCTGTCTTGGAGAAGTCAATGTCATGGGAACCTACTGAATTCTAACAGTGATCTGCCACGGCCGAGATGTTGGTCCTACCGTGTTTCAGGTCTGCTTTGTGTTCACGAATGCGGTCCGAGACATGTCGTTTGGATTCTCCAATGTAACTACTTCCAAAGAGGCAACTTAGTTTGTAGACGGCAGGGTACTGTATGTTCGGAAACACATCTTTTTACAGACGGAACCAGATCACGGATTTTATGTAATGTGTTGAATCGGACCTGGATCTCGTGTTTATTCAATATTTTGGAGATATTTTTTGTGATCCCCACAATGTAGGGAAAAGTGATGGTTTTGAAAGGCTCCTCAAGAGGGTCCTTCTTCATGGTTGGAGTGATAGCTTTGCGGATTGTGTAGTCGGAATAACCATTAGCCTTAAGAGCTTGGTGTACATGCTTGAGTTCACTGGCTATATGTTCCTGGTCGGATATGCATTGGGCTCTATGGTGCAGAGTCTTGATGAGGGGATTCTTCTGGGATGGATGGTGGTGGGAATCCGGTTTCAGGTAAGCATCCGTATGGGTAGCTTTCCTGTAGACAGAGTGGCTCATTGAACCAATGATGTGTAGGCTTTGACTTTAACATAGCTATTTCTATGACCAGTCACAAGCTAATCCCTCAGTTATTTCAATGCTAAATTCTCCTGTTTGATTTGTACTAGGTACCTCTGTGGATGTGTAGGCTTTGACTTTAACATAGCTATTTCTATGACCAGTCACAAGCTAATCCCTCAGTTATTTCAATGCTAAATTCTCCTGTTTGATTTGTACTAGGTGCCTCTGTAGATGTGTAGGCTTTGACTTTAACACAGCCATTTCTGTGACCAGTCACAAGCTAATCACTCAGCTATTTCAATGCTAAATTCTCCTGTTTGATTTGTACTAGGTGCCTCTGTGGATGTGTAGGCTTTGACTTTAACATAGCTATTTCTACGACCAGTCACAAGCTAATTACGCAGCTATTTCAATGCTAAATTATCCGAACCAAACATTAAACTAATTTGCAATGGTATAGTATATTTTTTCAAGTAGTGGTATCCCAAACTTTAGCAGCAGCTTAAATTCTCTTTTCACATCATCAATATGTAAACTCCCCCTCCCCCCGTCGCTGGTCTGCACATGTTCACCCCCTCTACACCGTTCATCATGATAAGTCCGCTAATTAAATGCTAATTTTTATGCTAATTCCTTTGTCAAGGCGCTCTGTTTTTTCTCACAGTTTAAAGGTCGCGGTCTGAGCTTGGCTGTGTTCGCTCCAGCGCTGTCCTCGAGACAGTGTCGTCCCTTCACCTGATGAAGGCCACTTGTGTTGTGGCCGAAACGTCGTGAGAATTTTATTGTGTTATTTTATTTTATTAATTTATTATTTTATTCTCATTCTACGTGACTTTACCGAAAGAAACAAAGAACAATGATTCTTTATCAACGTTCTAGTTTTTGCTCCAATTTATTTGATATCTTCCACAGTTATGATCTAAGTCGGAGCCATTTAAATATTTATTTGGGGGGGAAAAAACTACCGAGGACGGATACGTGTTACAAATTGTTATGGAATTGATTCGTATGCACGATGTTTCTTATTTTTTCACAAAATTGACTGCAAATCCATCACAATGAAGCACAATAGCCAGCCGACGTGACTGAATAAGGACCCTATTCTTACATCGGGTATTGTAACATTGTAACAACGATCGAAGCGTGGCTTCGTTCATCAAAACAGTCAACTCCTACTGTTTGAAATTCAATTGAAAACCCTATAACCAAATAAAAATCTAAAACATTGAGCGCTATTAATTGTTATCAGAGAGTAGTTTAATTTCAGTGTTGATTTAATGTGTCATTGAAATGTAATCATAGATTGAAATATTAAAGTTACCGAACAGCTACTGTATAAATATTTATACTTTTAAAATATATAAAAATGGTAATGTCGCATTTCAAAGTTAAAGCACTGTCCATGCACAGCAAGCATTGCTGAAGGAGCCTCTGATTGAGTCGCGAAAAAAGTTTCACCCTCCCAGTTCCAAGATTTATAAATGAGTGATGACATTTTAATGCTCGAAGAAAATTGTTTTGTACAGAACTTACCTGCAGTAAGAGCCCACTTTTCTTGATCCAAAAACAAGAGAAATTGAATATTACTAAATTACCAAACAGGCTGATTTTACAACTCATTCTCCACAGAGGTCGTCCTCTTCGGTGCCTTCTCTGCTCTGGCTGCCATTACATTAAACGTGTGTTAATTGGTAGTCATCTCTTCTCGTGACGAGTCCTGCCTAACGTTTTAATCAAGGTGGCGTCTTTCACCTGCGTATGCTCTCTAATCTACACGTTTCTGTATTAATGTAACTCCAAGCGCGCACATAGCAATGATTCATTAGCCATCTCGTTTTTGTTCCAATTTATTTAATATCGTCTGCATTTCCGATCGATGCTGCGGCCAGGTACACACACTTATTTGGAGAATAACATACTTCCGAGCACAGATACGTGTTACAAATTGCTATGGATTTCATTCGTGTGCACCATGTTGCGTTCTATTTTTCCCATAATTCACTGCAAATCCATCACAATGGAGCAGAATAGCCAGCAGACGTGACTGAATAAGGACACTAATCTTTCATGGGGTACTGTAGCAATGTAACAATGATCGACACAATTCAAAAACCTATGAGTAAAATAAAATAGGAATACATTCAGCGTTTTTAATTGGTATGAGAGCAGTTTGATTTCAGTGTTGATTTAATTCGTCATTGGAATGTATTCAAATGTAAAAAAATATCATGTTACCACACAGATACTGTATATACATTATTTTCTTGTTAAAATATAAAAATGGAAGTTTCGCATTTCAAAGTTACTAGCACAATAATCATTGTGAAATGAGCTTTCTTTTTTAATTTAAAAAATAGTTTCTGCCACGCATTAAAATATCTCTAAATAGACGATGCCAATCTAATTCAAATGTATCAAATATTTGTTTAAAAAACGTACCTTGTCGAAGATTTGTTCGTGCTCGAGCTGACAACAAAATCAACCGAAAAAACAACACTATCACAGTTGTACTATTTTATGCAAAGTTCATTTAAACATCATAAATACATTGAAGTACTTTGCGAATAAAACAAAATGCATGCAATGGAAAAATCTAGGAATCCACTCTACCCCTATCTCCTTCGCTCCTCACTGATTGCTCGCTACTGCGTGCATGCACAATCCCCCCACCCATCCACAACCCCCATCACTACCCCATCTATGTCGATTCTCAAGGAACATTATCCTTGAGACTAAAGTTTTTCACAATATTTTGGGGTTCATGCTTCGCTGATGACTTTTTAGACCGCTACATCTATGAAGGACCTTGAGTTTCTGGAGTAAACTGAGGTATCTTATTGTCACATTTTGAACTACCAAATCTAATGCGATATTGATTCTACAATGAGGGAGTAGCCAGAGTGTAAAGCGTTTTGAAGGCTTTGTTTTGTTCTTTTGGGGTCAACAGAGCCATCGAGCATTTCGCGGTTGTATCCAAGGGGCAGAATGGGAGTTAAAGTTTGAACCAATATAGAAGTGGCAATTGCGGTTATTGTAGAGGTTTACCCCCCCTTTACTGGTAGGAACCTCCTGGTTCCACCAGCCCACAGGGGATTATTGTGTACGTCCGTCCGTCGTGCATCCAAAAATGGGAGGGATTGGGCTGGGTGGAGAGGGGAGGGTGCGGAGGAGCTGGATGGAGAGGGAAGGGTTGGGTGGAGAGGGGAGGGTGGGGAGGGAGGGTGGGGAGGGAGGGGCTGGGTGGAGAGGGGCTGGGTGGGTAGGGAGGCGCTGGGTGGGGAAGGCTGCCACGGCACACACGAGGGGGTGGGTGGCAACCAACCACGTCCGGCCATCTTCACGATATTTTTTTCTGGCGGAATTGCACTCTATTCAGGCGGGGGAGAGGCTGCTTTAGGTGGTACATGCACATCCAGATAGAGTAAGTATTGTATGACAACTTGTTCAACAACCCCCCGATGGGTATTGTACTGTTTTTTTTTTAGGAACAGCTTTTTTTTTCCTCCACCATCCCAGGTCCCCACTCGGTCCCCACCCTTCACGCCGGCTTGTGCCCACCCTCACAGTCGGGCATATTTGCAGAATACACCACGCCGCCGTTGACCCTGGCCATTGACCGAGCAACCCAACGTTTCTACCAGCTCCCTCCGCAGGAATGTGTTCTCTCTGCCTGATGATGGCCGCTTGTGTTGCGATCGCAACGTCGTGTTTTTTTGTTTATTTTATTTTGATTAATTTAAACCTATCTACGTGATTTACCGAAAGACCTAAATAATATAAATTTAGCTTATTTAATGCAACCTGAGAAATCGCACTGATGATGTTATCAGAGTCTGTAAGTTGTTTTTTTTCTAGATTATTGACGTTGAGAATAAGATTTGTCCAAGTATGAAGCCTTTTGGAACTCCATTTGTAAACTGATATTTCCGGATACCAAGTTTTGGTCTGAGTCAACTTTATTTCACTGCCTGCAGAAATGAAAGATTTTGAGTTCATTTTGAAATGTGACGTGGTCCACTGTATCGAAGGCTTTGGCCAAATTAAGAAATATTAGGCACAATATTGCTTGTCTAGACTTGATTTGAAACTTTCGTGACTGCAGGAATCCATACTCTTTGGTTCTTTTGGTAAAGTCACGTAGGCATAAAAAGCAATAGATCACGTCATTTCGATCTCAACGCAAGCAATCATCTTCAAGCAGAAAAAAAGAGGAGTCAAGCTGCTGGATGCAGGCGGATTTTAAAGGGTAGAAATGGGCGTAGCCCAAGAGTCATAAACGACTGAGAAACAAACGACTGCATAAACGATAATCGGCGGCAGGGGGAGAGAGAGGGGGGTGGGGCATCCCCTTTTCTTATCTCTGCCCCACCCACTTTCTCTCCCCCTGCCGCCGATCATCGTTTATGCAGTCGTTTTTTTCTCAGTCCTTTATGACTTTCGCTACGCCCATTTCTTACCTTTCAAAGCAGCCTGCATCAGCAGCTTGCCTCTTTTTCTGCCTGAAGACCATTGCTTGCGTTTTGATCGAAACGTCGTGATATATTATTATTTTTGCCTACGTGACTTTACCGAAAGAACCGAATAGTATTGCTCGTCTAGTTTCATAAATAGGACATTAAGGGAGTTGAGTACCGCAGAAGTTGTGCACGAATGTTTACAGCAGCCTGATTGTTTAGGGTGAAGCAGCTCATATTGTAGAGGTGTAATTGACACTTTTGGTCTGGATATTCTTTCAATGAATTTGGTAAGTGGTGATAGCTTTACCATTGGCATTTTTTAATATGTTTATTGAACCCGCAACCTCAAACATAACTGAGGGCAAACAAACTCGAGGACAGGTAACGTGTAATTGGGAGCCACGCCCCCTAGGTAATTTTTCTCCCCCGAGGGGACAATTGTCATTCAGAATGTAATAGAGTGATGTGGTTTCTACGGCCAAAGCTTCCTCTCCATCCCCTTATTACGTACAGGTGTTTTGTGTTACGCTGGATTCTTAAGAAATGGAATTCATATCGCCTCATATTCTCATGCTTTTCCCTTCAGCTTGTAACTGAGGTGCTCCATCGCTGCGATCTATGCTAACGTCCCTACTTGTGGATTCATGGTCTTTCGAATTTCCTAGGATTGTTTTCCTTGCCATGGTGTAAAACGCTTGGCATAATGTTTGTTGGTACTTGGATACCCGCCATGGGTTTTAAACCTCACAATGATGAATCCACTGAAGGGCTGACTTCTGTGCCACAGATGTGAGTTTAAGTAGTTGCCTATGTCTTGGTAGAAATCGATTATGTCTGAGCATTGCCAAAACGCATGCAGGTATGCTGTACAGTGCCCTGTGGGAATCTTAGAATCAAATATTTTTTATACTGGAGTAATCCGATGATCTACATTGCTCTTTTTCATATATGTCCACCAGGGGCAGCTAAGAATGTCACAACAACAAAATAGGAGTGCAAAGTAAAATACACGTAAACAAACCACTTGCAAAAATACAAATTAAACATTTAAAAAAAATCTGATCAGGTAAGGCCCACTGAGGTATTAACTTGATTTTCAGAAGCGACCTGGCCACAAATGATAGCTCCACAAACTGGCTTATCACGTGAAAATTTGCAGCAGCAAAATATTCCCAATAATCTCGATGCATGCATCGAAATATGGAGAGAACAGTCCTAGACCACATCAAGAAAACACACAGTCCCTCAATAAAATGTCGTGTTAAATTTTAACTATGGATACGTTGTTAAGAATCGAATTTACAAGTTACATTGGCAAATGTGGCTGTATACAACACTAATCTTCTACTTCAGAATATTTTGTGAAGGAAGATTTATTATGTTAAATGAGAAAACAAGGTTGTTCCAAAACGTTGGTGCTGAAATGGCAAAGGCGTTGTCACCTATTCCAATTATTGTTACTGGAAATACTCCACTTTCCCTTCCTTTCTTAGCAATACCAGCTGCTTTCCATGCAGCCCAATTAATTAATTTGCCCTCTATTTTAAGGATTGGGTTAGCCCAAAGAAAGGGTTGTTGATGCAGAGAGGGGGAGAATGGGATCTGTCTATCTCTGTAGACTCCTAGGATGGTGGTAATTGTCGAGAATGGCTTGAGGCGAGTGGTCTATCTTTGATGGAAACGAAAGCCATCCCGCCGAGCTACCAGGGACCAAAATATCCTTCCTCCCGCTTTTCCCAAATCCCCATTTTTTCTGGGTTTATCCAGTGTTTAATATTTTAGAGCGTGATTGATCTTTGATATTGAAGGAAATCGGGGAGGGCCAATTTCTCCTGCTTCTTGTTGAGTGTAAGAGAGTGATGGTCGATTCTTGATATTTTGTAGTTCCATACGAATGACGTGAAGCGTGAGTGGAGTGTTTTTAAAACATACTTTTGGTACCCCTGTGGGGGGAATTCCTAGGTGGTATACGGTTTCATTAGAATCATAATTTTCTCTAGGTGGGCTATGTTAGAAAGGGATAGAGGTATGACCTTCCAGGCCTTCAGTGATGTAGTGGTCCCCTGGAACAGAGGTAAGAACTTCCTTTGGAAGGATGATGGGAGTGTGCATGGTATAATTACCCCGAGGAACTTTAATTGGTAAAAGGCCCTCCGAAGCCTTAGGGGAGAGGGCATCAGTTCTGATTTTGTTAAATGTAGCTTGTATCATGAGGATTCTGTGTACCCTGTGATCAAAGAGAGTAGGGTACGGATAGAGGTGGATGGTTTGGTAAGAGTTGCTATTACATCGTGGTAATGAAGGTTAATTTAGCTTTCTACTCCCCCCTTGCATATTCTGGTCACCTGTCAGTTACTTATAGTGTTTTTTGGAAGGGGTTATCTTGCTATTGTGAGCAGAATAGGTGAAAGGGGGTATCTCTGCTTACTGCCTCTTCCCAAAAAGTAAACTAGGAGAGATGAGTCCACTCGTTACTACTGTGGCAAAAGGATTGGTGCTGGACCCTGGTAAATGCCCATTCGACTCTGTAAAATGCTTTTAATCCATCGAGTGTGAGAGCATATGCAGTGAGATTATCCCTGGTTGCATTTATCAATTGTATTTACCAGATGCCTCTTATTTTCAGCTGAGTTCTTATTTTTTTACAAAGTCCTTCGGTACTTCTCCGATTATTGAAGGGAGGACTCTTTTCAGTATACTCATTAGAATTTTAGCAAGTAACTTGTATTCCGAGTTTAGTAAGGATATCGTTTGTACTTTCTCATTGCCTCTGGCCAAGTACCAGGTTAAGGAGTACTGAGATCCTGGCATTCATAGAGCCTGGGAAGCCACCCAGGATGAAAGTCGCATTCATAGCTGCTAGTAATTGGGAGATGATTGGGGCCTCAATCGCCGTATATATTTTAACAGGGAATCCATCCGAGTCGTGTAAAGGAAGTGTAGTGTTAATGCATAGCGCAGTAGTTTAGTGGTTATGGGTGTTTTCCAATTTTAGTTTTGTATGTTAAT